TACAAGTGTCGTTGCGCCAAAGACCATCATATTAAACTCATCACACCTTTCCATTTTATTTTGGACATACTTTTCCAGCAAACGATATGATCACGTGATGTAATTTTGGAATTTATTTTTGACATTTGTTTCAGTAAAACGAGAAGAGAAATTGCTGACGAAATAAAGTCACAAAAATTTTAGAATAAACGACTGACGATGAAAAAATCATACGCTTATGTAATTTGAAATAATTCAAGTATTTGCATGAGCCAATTAATGATGAGGGTGTGTTAAATCAGTCTAATTTTTTATCGTTTGAGAAACGTTGGTTGAACGAATAATGCAAATTTTTTAATTGAAAAATTAATCGAAACAGCTCACGACATCCTATGCCAGCACCGCTAACCAATGAAGGGAAGACATAAAGCTAACGACAAGTGAACAATTTTGGCGTACAAAAGACCGGGTGTTTTTAAGCGCGGTCTATCAGCGCGATCGTCGAATGTTCACACATTCCGGGGTTCGAACCCACAACTATCAGCTTCCATCTCGCAACGCTTGGCCATTTGACCACTGCAACGATAAATCAATTAAAGATTTATGCATAACAGCCCAGAGAAAAGTTCTATTGATATTAGAGAACACTTTGAACTCAACACCAAAACATCGAGAACAACAGCCATGTTACGAGTCAATTTCTTATCGCCTCATATAATATCCTTTATAATAGGAAAATTTAACACATACTATCACATTATCTTCAAGAATATGACTTACATATCAGTTACCTAAGACGGGCAGAATTATAAGTCATTTAGTACTATAAAATAAATCATACGAGTGAAACAAACTTAAAATTATTTTGAAAATCTCGTTCATTAGAACAAGTAAATATGAACGTGTTTGGAATAGCTTGAAAAATCGTTAAATTACTATTTTTAATTTTGTAAGGGAGAGTAATTATCTGGAACACGAGTATTTATTAGTTATTATAGTATAGGTAAATATATGAATGTTTATAGAATCAATCAAATCACAATCAATCAATGGGTAAATTTTGAGCAGCTTTTACAGGTACGAAAAAAATCTTGATCAGAATTTTGCATCACTCTGATTAAATAATTTTGTATCACTCTGATTAAATAATTTTTAAAGGCAACACTCCCAATGATCTGTAGGGACGAATTGTATCAAACAAATTATTTTTAATGATCTCAATTAAAATTCAGTTAGGTTCAGTGATAGAATAGGTTCAGTTACGGAAGTAACTGAACCTAGGTTCAGATAGGTTCAGTTACGGATAGGTTCAGTTACGGAAGTGTGAAGCAAAATAATCAAAGCGCACCGTCCTCAATGATACGTATAATGAACAGATGATAATAGGAGTAAATAGATAACGAAATAATTTATCTTAAAGCCCTGGTCTTGAAAGACTACATGGAATGACGTCACGAAGCTCGTGTATTCAGTAAATAGTAGCACTCGCAAGGAGGTAATCAGCATAACCGTAGTTAAAGTTAGCTGTCGCATTGAATCGTCAATGCCACAGAACATAAATAAATAAAATATAGTAAACTATCTATTCGAGCTCCACTTAGAGCAGCGATCGAGAGAAAATAGAGTAAAGTGTAAAAGTATCTGTCTTGTCCTGTCGCACCGTTACCATCACTCTTTCTGTCTACACTTAACAAACCTAAACTCAGTCATACTACAAACCTTACGTTCAACTTCTGGATCACAACTCCTCGACTCGCGGTAAACCTTCTGGTATAACATTGAGCATCCAATCTACGTGTCAATTTCTGTAACTATCAAACAAAGAGCATTTATTTGCATATGTAGCCTTGATTGTAAATACCAATTTCCATCAGGTTGAACTCTAATTAATTTTTACATAGGAATAATCGGTCGCTTTGAGTTGAATTTTACATGAGCATTATAATGAGATGCCTCTTATCATTCTCTTCCTGTCATCACTATCCACTTATACACAATTCTTCCGCTATCATCACTATAGGCAAATACATCATCAGTCTCGTATCATCACTATCCTCACACGTGAGCCGCCCTTTGAGCAATCAAGCAATATCATGTCTCGTTCGTCCATTCTACAGAGGAACTTTCATAGTATCAATCCTTCAGTAATACTATTTATTCTCAAGCAATGTTTTAAATAGTGATTCTGGCAGTCCTCAGTTATTGTCGGATGATCAATAAATGAGGGAACAATTTTTATAAACTTGAGTCGTTGAGATCGCCGTAGTCATTCCATTTCAAAATTCGTTGAATTGTGCCTTAAAATTTTTGTTAGCGATGAGTGGTTGTGTTTGCAGTGATACTACTTACTTTTCGTGTAAAGTGATACAGGTTTTACATTGAAGAGAGTTAAAAATTTTACGTTGGAGTAATCGCTTTATGATAGGAAATGTTTGGGTGAATATGGGTATCCAGCCAAGCTATCTGAGGTCACTGCAGAAAAACGAGAAATATAAGAAATCAGCACGGTTATCGGCAGCAGATATTGAATATGTAGGCTTAGATGCTAGGCGAATTAATATCTTAATCAGAAATAGTATCACTTTCTACAATGCAGTCTCTCGATGGACATTGTGTATTCTAGACTATGATAGCAAGAAGGAGAGGGCGGCATATATTGCTAACAGCGTAAGGGTTATCTTCATCATTCAGCTACACACCGGGTAGGCAAGAAGCAAATTTTCTCGTACTGAGTATACGCACTAATTACACGTTCATTGAACAAGCCTAATTCGTGAGCTATGATACAAAATTTGAGTATCTAATTTTACTAGTAGAATGACTTCCAGGCAATATCCTACGCTAGAGGACAGCTTCACTTCATATCTCCAATCATCGAGAAGATCTCGAAAATAAAACTCGATATTGATGGATAATGCACAAGCTAAGAGTTAAGATAAAATTCAAACTTCCTTTAATCGTTAGAAGCTTCTGCATTGAAATAATAACTAAAGAAAATATGGCAGTTATTAGAACAACTTCTTAAGTCAACGACCCTCATCACTCCGCAATGGCATCATGCATGCTTCTTATCTCGCAAATTTTCCTAAGAAGCTTTCGACGAGTTCACAAAGAACACAACTCATTAGACTAAGTTCTAATATTCATTAATCGTTCCATCTTTCAAAGGCACACTTGCAAGAGAAATTCTATCCTCCTCCACTCGTGATAACAGAACTCATTTCAGTGAAATTTATGTCATCCCCACGACCAAACTTCAACTGATAAAGAAGCTCTGTTTCACATAACATCTTAACCTCTCATAAAGAAGTACGGAAGCACTACTTTCCTAGGCGAAAATCAAAGACTAGCACGAGCTAATTTCCTCGATTGATTTCCACTTTAATTTAGCGACCAAAATAAGTGTTCTATTTATTCTTTTCTCCTTCAATGACGCACAGAGGTCTTCTATTAATTTATCGTGGTTTCAGATGTCAGAAAATTGGCTAATGAACGAGGGAGCGCAGACTTAGAAAAATGTAGCGCTTGAGGAAATACACGAAAAAGTCACCACAATGCACGAACGGTTCTACAAGTACAACTATATGAGTAATGCTCAAGGATCAATACCTCGGCTAACCCCTCAATTCCTCGAGATTCGCAACTAAGATCAAAGTTCTAGTCACTACCTTCGGACTGGTTTGCACAAGTGCAAAAGGACAAAATTGGGCGCAATAGTATGATCAGGCAAAAATCGATAGTAGAAAAAGCTCTGCATATCAGATAACTACCTCGGATTGACCAGTACAGCCATGGACGAAGGGAACATTGTAGATCAGCATTAAACTCAAGAGGGTAGGCAGAGCACAGCCAACGGCATCCTACTGGCAAATATTAGCAGGTGCCAACAGGCTTCCAGCCGTTTCACTAAAGCAACTCAATGAGCCATTAAAAAGACAAATATCATGAAACTTCAAAGTGTGATTTCTAAACGCATGCCATATAATTTAAGAGCAGTCAAACTCGAGTTCAAATTTAATTTATTGTTTTTAATTTCTATAAAACATAGAAATTAATTTGGAAAAATCTCCCCATCACCGCAGACTTCGTTCGACATTGAGCAAGTTACAGCGTAAGTCCACTCACCACGTTCGTTTATAAAGTTCAAGTAAACTATAAAATTCATTTGTGTGAGTCGAATTATAGTTGCTGAATTTGCTTCAAGTTAGGCTCTAGAATTAAAATTTTATAGAATGAATCAAAGGCATAGCTAAGTTGTCAACAAATAGCCGTTCTGTTCTGGTATACAGGTGAACATTTACGCACAGAACACAATAAAAATGAAACTGCATTTGAATCGAGCCTGTTTTTTCCTCAAGATTCCAGTTCTGATAATATTGTTGAGTCAGACTGAAATTTGCCTATCAATCACACCTCTTGGCCCGCCATCGTCATCAGTTCAATAAGGGAAAAGGCACTCGTATCGTGGGTAAATCAATACAAAACCTACCGAGAATGAATGATAAATACTATGAGCACCAGAGCACACTAGTAATCTTTAAATCTACGGAAATTCTTTGGATGACACCATTTTTCCATTGACCAAGAGGACTTGAGATTGATCATGCTAAGATTGTCTTGTACAAGTTATTCACAATTACGTTACTTTACCCAGCCTTAACTATACATGTGCGTCGATCCCAATAACAAGAAACTCACTTTGAATTTTACAGTCATAATTGTTGCAACGGCGTCGTTCATACTTTTAGCACAGGCGTGCATTTTTTAACGTACGTAGAGGATGTCCCATCACTTCTACCGCCACTACTGCACGAGAAACCGTGGCTTTTGGCGATTTTTTTTGCAAACAGACGAAATATTTTCGTTTTAAAATATCCTAAAATGCTGACAACCCAGCTAGAATTTTTCTTGAAATCCTTTTATCTGGAAATTTTTTAACCCCAATGTTATTAAATTGTTCATAATGCCGGGTGATTTGATTTCTAAATTCTAATAATATGAGCCTTGTTTTTGATAGATTATTCTCAAATTTTTATGAATAATTTCTTTTTCTTTCTTTTTATGAACATATAGAGTATTAAAGGCCATTAGAGTTGGATAATAGGTTATTATATCAAAAGAATTGTTGTCTGCTGGTCTGGGATTAACCGACAACACACCCTGCCATTAGCGACGTTGTGTGTGAAACTAGTGCTCTGATGAGGGCAGATGATTTACTTTCCGTGAGACCGTCTAGTTCCTTAAAATTCCAGTCTGTATGCATTGCAGGAAGTTTCATGGTCCTGAAGGTTGATGGTACATCGGACAGCTGAAGGTGCCAGATCGATTTTGTTTGCGATGAGAGCGTCTTCGTTCGCTGCAACCCAGTAGCCAAGAGCATCCGTGTCATACGTGGGAATGATCGTTACTTCTGAAAGAATGGTTGAAGTGATAGTTAGGTCAGCGGAAATGACAGCATTTCACACCATAGGGGAATTAAATCTTTTAAACAAATTTCGTATCTTTTTGGGGCAATAAAGCCTTGAGGCAAGTCGAAGATATTGACTAAACTTAATAGAAAATAATAGGAACTGGCAACTGAGGGTGTTCAATAGGAATGATATTCATGGTTTCACTGTGATTAAAAAGATCATGCATCGTGATTCTGTGTACCAAGTAGACAATTTTGTAGCATAGCAGGCTGCTAAATATTGTCCAAAGAACAATTAGTCACATATTGGAAATTTTTATGTTAACAATATTTTTATATTGCCGTTAACATAATATGGGGCAATTATTTTTGTAGAATCTTTAGAGGCATTATCAATACTCATAAAATGCCTTTGTGAAGTTTAAATGAATTTTCTAAAAGTTTAACATAATTATTTCTGGCTTTCATTAGTTCCCTTAATCAATATATGAATATTTGTATAGAACTACTCACCAAGATTTTTATCCTCCCACTCAATCTTGGCTTGGAGCAGAGCATCAAGTACTTCTCTTCCTGGATCAATTCCAGAGAAGACATAATATCTCGCTCTAACTTTACGGAAATAATCGATGTTACAGTAATTGGGGTTTGCAGCATGAGGTACATAAGCTAAGTCAAGGTAAACTGGAGTCGGACGCTTTATCCTTCGACCGGTTCTTCGAGGTCGTGGAGGTGTCCTAGGCTTAGGACTTTCTGACGAATGGACGGGTGAAGGCAGTCCTAGAGGTTTACCCCAGTCTTTCAAGACAGATTTCGGGTCATTTTCACTTGTAGAAGACGAAAAACTGGATGCCACAGTGCTGGAAGATTTGACCACTGATTGTTCCTTAGATGACCTACTCGTGCTAGAAGAAGTAGTCGAATGGCTCGTTTTAATAGTCGAACGATCTTCAGTTTGAGGAAGCTCAGCTCTTGAAGTCTCGAGTGAAGCTGGATATGAGGTACCAGGTAGAACCTTCGTGGTGGCTGTTGTCACCACATTGCCGTCTGTTGAAGTTTTCTCAGTATCTCCTTCTCTAATAATCGATTGGATGGAACGGGTTACGAAACATGAATCTCCAGATTCGACAGAAGGTTTTTCAGCAGCCCATGGTTCTGAAACAGTACGTTCAACAAATGATTTACCATGAGATGGTGAATCTGTTTTCTTGCGAGTAGCTACTGGGGACGAAGTTGAGGAAGAAATTTTTCGCAGGAGCCCCGCACTTATTTCTTGGTCTCCAAGCACTTCAACAGTTTCACTTCCAGGTACTTCTTCCATTTCTACTTCTTCACCATCTTCGTAATACTTGGTTATAACCGTCGTCACCCTACGAACGACAACTCGACCAGTTCTCGGGCTGCCTGTCACTGGAGTATCAGTTGAACCACTGGATGACTTTTTCTGTAAAACGGTTTTGCCAGACTCGCTCTCATGTGACTCAGTTGAACTAATTTGCGACTTCTGGGCAGACTTTTCAAGTATTTCTTGTGAATGCATTGATTTTTGTTGAGTAGACTGCATAGTATCTGCTAAATTACTACTTTTAGTACTAATTCCCGATACCTCGGAAGATATTTGTTTCTCAGACAGAACAGCAACTTTTTCTGCTGCTCTACTGTCGAAAACTTCTGACATCAGTTTTGCTTCTAGAGCTTCATCCGGGGATTTGGATGTTTCAAATTTTTCTATTGCACCTCTAGTTGTTCTTAGCGAGATTGACTCCAACACATGGACATTGGAAAGTGATGTCAGATCGTCTTCGATGCATCCTTGAACAGGAAGAGGATCTGGAATTTGTTCCATCTGCGATCCATCTTCAATGCAACCAGATATCTGCGCAATTTTCATATCACAAACAAGGTCTCGCTGCTTCTCTTGCGAATGAATTTCTAATGAAATGTCGCGATGAGAAGTTTCTCTCATGGATATTTCCTCGTGATGCTGCTGACTCTGTGAATAGCCCAACGAAGTAGATTCATCTTTGTCGGAAATTCTCCTTCTGACGGTTGAAACTTTTGTTACAACTGTTGGAGTGTATCTAACCGTTTTAGTGGTAGTTGTTTTGTGAGAGATATTTTCAAAGTTATCGTCGAATTCAGACGAGAAACCTGTTGTTTGAAGGTTTGTTCCAGATGTCGTGATGTATCTACTACTGAGGCTGCCAGTTTTTGGTCGCACTGAGGACAACATTTCAGAGGGAACTGACATAGCATGCTCGATTTTTCTCACAGACTTTTTCTCCTCACTATGTTTGGCTAACTTCTTCCTCTTGTATCTTTCTGAAAGTGAATTTTCTTTTCCTTCGTCACTGGAGACATCTGAGCTGGACGGAGTTGCTGAAGCATCAAATGACGGGGTGACATTCGAATATGACAAGGACTCTCTCGAAGAACTTGTCAACTCTTGAGGTGATTCAAAAGATAACTCTTGACGTTTCACAGAATCGATTTTTTGACTGGTGACAGTGCATTCTCGAATAGATGTCTCACTCTTTACATAGGTACGAGTGTCCTCAGTTAATGGAGACAAACCTTGACTTTCTAAACTGAAGGCTTTATCTCTATCATCAAATGCAGAGTCCTTCTCTGAGACATCACTTCGTGAAGTATGTACCCTACTTTCATCTTTTGGAAAATCTCCAAGCTCAATTTGAAGCTTGAATGACTCAGTAGATCCACTTTTGTCCGTAATTAATGTCACACTTTCAGTTGGCGCACTAACGATTTTAGGAGACCGTGGTCTTCCACTATCAATAATCTCTTCCACTAACTCAAATTGATTTGCCTCAGCTTTGATCCCTTGCTCTGAATGCGTTTCTTCCGTAGATATCTCGTCTCCTAAAAGTTGCCCATACATAGAGGTAGACATAATATCTTCTTTCACTTCTGTGCTGGACGTCTTGATTGTTGATGTATCTTGTGATTCCAATAAACCATAACTGGCAAAATCATCTCCATACATAGAAGATGACATGATATCATCCAATTGAGAAGTCGTTGACGTTTTAATAACAAACGATACTTCTTTAACATCTTGACTTTCCTTTTCTTCATCAGATTTACACTCGGTTAGCTCTTTGTCTAATATTATGGACTGTGACAAAGTCGATTTTGGAGACATCGGAGTAGAACCAGGTGTAGTATCAGCTGATACATGGACAAATTCCGCTTTTTGAGCTTGCAACACCGCGAAAACAGGTTGTGCTATGTCCCCGGATGTTGACGGTTTTTTAGACAGGGTAGAAGTGATTTTATGTTTTGCTGTGGGTACTTCCACATCATCATTCCCTTCAGCAGATGAATCGAGCGCCGTTTCTGCAGCAAATCGTTCATCAATCATCAATAAATCACTACCCTTAGATTCACCTTGAACCTTTGGCTCAAATTGTGAGAGAAATTTGGATGGAGATATTGTTACATCCACTTTCAGAGCAGAGAATATTGACCCAGTTTTTTCTGACACCGTTGTTTCCTTCTGTCCAGTTGTGGAGTTCAGATCTTCGCTTTCTTGCATGTCTTCCTTTGGATACAAAGAGCTATTCACTTGAGATTTCTCGGAATTACCTACTTCCATGTCAATCTCGGCAACCGAGTTTATTTTCTTCGAATGTGTTGCGATCACTTGCTTTTCGAGTTCAACTAGCCTCATGAGTTCTGGTAGGTCTGTGGTATGTACGTCTGTATGTGATACATTACTTTCATCCGTTTCCTCACATTTAGATGAAAATGACGAAGGTGGTTCCATTTTATGTGATATAACGAAATCCGTTTTCGGAGAGTGGTCATCTGTTACAGGAATTGGTGACTTAGTGTCTTCGATATGCCTTGAAGACACTCCAGCAGGGTGATGATCAAGGTGTTCAGATTTTTTGGACGAATCTTCAGGTGAAACACAGATCATAGGCTTCGGTGACGGCACTCTTGATACCTTATCTTCTTCATCTAAAGATTTTCGGCAAACTGGGGGTGACTTGTCAGATTTTGTTGTTAAGGGTGCATCTGTGGGCGTCTCAGAAGGTGATTCATATGGCTTGTAAATAGTTTGTACATCTCCAACATTGAGAGCGTCACTTTTTTCTTCAATTACCGTGAAATCGTGTGATACTTCCGTCACATATGCGGTTGAACGTTTCGAAATTTCTTTCGATGACTCGATCCTGTCAATAGCTGTTTCCAATCTGTCTGCTCTCGCTGTACGTACTTCCAATACATCATCGATTTCGTCGGTTTGTATGTCCCCGGGAACCACTGGTAAAATTCCTTTTAATTTGGGAGATGATTTTTCATCTTTATCTTCTGCACTCAATTGCGGAGATATCTGAGCGGTCGGTTCCGTTTCACCGCCCTCATCTGGTTTTGGCGAAACCTGGATAGAATCTACCTTCGGGGAAAGTTGATATGCTGTCGAAACTGGTGACCTTATTACTTCGTTAGGTTTCGGAGACACTACGTCAGATTGCATTTCCACTTGATCTGAATTTTCAGATGAGTCTCTTAGTGAAACGCTTGCACCCTGTTTTGGTGAAGATTTTTCGGCTACCTCAGGTTCATCAACTAAGGATTTAGGCGAAAATGAAGACGGTGACTTGTCTGATTTAGGAGTAATCATTGATGTCCCGGCAACTGCGACAAGAGATTTGGTAATTTCGGAGGTTTCTTCTATTATTTTTGATACCGTGACCGAAGTAATTTCAGACGATATGATCTCAGTTGCGTCTGTGGTCACTTTACTTACTGGCTTAGAGATCCCAGGAAATTCGTAATCTTCCTCGCCAACCTCATCGTAATCCTGTGATTTTTCTCTTGTGTCAGTGTCTTTCAATATTTTTTCTTCCGAATATGGTTCTCTCACGGATTTAGGTGAAAGCTGCTTCGTAAGTTCAGGTTTACTCTCTTCTTCACGTTTGGGTGATACTTCTCCCAATTTCGTGTCTGATTCTGCAATGACCGCTGCGGGTCGAGATCTTACATCAGTTGGTTCTTTTGTGCCTTTGTCATCCGGCTGGAATGAAGGTTTTTCTGAATCAGTTGGTTTCGTAATTGGAGATTTAGGCGACTCGGAAGGTGATTCAGGGGATTTGAGAATAGTTTGTATATCTCCAACATTGAGAATGTCCGTCTCAGATGTGGTTGAACGTTTCGAAATTGTTTTCGATGACTCGATGATTTTGGTAGTTGTTTCTAGTTTTTCTGCTCTCACCGTTCTTATTTCCAATACATCCTCATCAATTTCGTCGGATTGTATGTCTTCGGAAAGCACTGATGAGATGTCTCTAATTTTGCGAGATGATTTTTCTTCTACATCTTCTGTACTAAATTGTGGAGAAATCAGAGCGGCCGGTTCTGTTTCACCGCCCTCATATGGTTTTGGCGAGATACGGATAGTATCTACCTTCGGGGAACGCTGATCTTCTGTCGGAATTGGTGACTTCGTTTCGTCGCTGGGTTTCGTCGATACTACATCAGATTGCATGTCCAGTTGATCTGATTTTTCAGACGAGTCGCTTGGTGAAACGCTTTCATCCTGTTTTGGTGAAGCTTGAGCGGTTACCTCCGGTTCATCAACTATGGATTTTGGCGAAATTGATGACGGTAACTTGTCTGATTTATGGGTAATCATTGATACATCGGTAACTACGACATGGGATTCGGTAACTTCAGACGTTTCTTCGATAGTTTTTGATACAGCGACCGAAGTAATATCAGACGATATGGTTTCGGATTGGATTTCGGTTGCTTCTGTGCTCACTTCACTTATTTGCTTAGAGACCTCCAAAAACCCGTTATCTTCCTCGATTACTTCTTTGTCATCCTGAGGTTTTTCTTTTGTGTCAGTGTCTTGCAATATTTTTTCCTCTGAATACGGTTCTTCCTCCAATTTAGGTGAAACCTGCTTTGTGGGTTCAGGTTTTCTATCTTCTTCAGGTTTGTGTAATACTTCTCTCAATTTCGTATCTGATTCTTCAAGGATCGCTTCATCGTCTTCGGTTCGAGATATTTCATTAATTGATTGTTTTGTGCTTTCGTCATCCGTCTGGAATGAAGGCTTCTCTGAATCTGTTTGCTTCGTAACAGGAAATTTGGGTGACTCGGTAGTTGATTCATAGGCTTCATGAATAGCTTGTACATCTCCTATAGTGATAACGCTATGTTCTTCTTCAATTATCGTGACATCGTGGGATACCCCCGTTTCAGATGTAGTTGTACGTTTCGAAATTTCTTGCGAGGACTCGGCGATTTTGGTGGTTGTTTCCAATCTTTCGGCTTTCACCGTTCTTATTTCCGATACATCTTCATCAATTTCGTGGGATTGTATGTCTTCGGGAACCACTGGTGAGATGTCTTTAATTTTGAGAGATGATTTTTCATCTTTATCTTCTGTACTCAATTTTGGAGAAAGCTGAGCGGCCGGATCTGTTTCACCGCCCTCATCTGATTTTGGCGAGAGTGGGATAGAATCTACTTTTGGGGAAAGTTGATCTGCTGTCGGAACTGCTGTCTTAGTTTCTTCGCTACGCTTCGGAGCTACTACATCAGATTGCTTGTCGAGTGTATCCGATTTTTCAGATGCGTCTCTCGGTGAAACGATTTCATCCTGTTTTGGAGAAGATTTTGCGGCTACCTCAGGTTCACCAACTAAGGATTTAGGCGAAATTGATGCCGGTGACTTGTCTGATTCAGTAGTAATCACTGATGAATCGGTAACTACGACATGAGATTCGGTAACTTCAGCCGTTTCATCGATTGTTTCCGATACAGTGAACGAAGTACTTTCAGACGATATGATTTCGGTTGCGCCTGCAGTCACTTTACTTACTGGCTTAGAGATCTCATAAAACTCGTGATCTTCCTCGCCAACCTCATCGTCATCCTGAGGTTTTTCTCTTGTGTCCTTGTTTTTCAATATTTTTTCCTCCAAACATGGTTCTTCCCCGGATTTAGATGAAATCTGCTTCGTGAGTTCAGGTTTTCTCTCTCCTTCAGGCTTGGGTGATACTTCTCCCAATTTCGTATCTAATTCTTCCATGACCGTTTCATCGTCTGTGGGTCGAGATCTTTCATCAGTTGGTTCTTTGTTGTCTCTGTCATCCGGCTCGAATGAAGGTTTCTCAGAATCTGCTGGCTTCGTAATAGGAGATTTGGGTGACACGGAATGTGATTCGTAGGATGTGAGAAAAGTTTGTTCTTCATCTCCAACAGTGAGAGTTTTACTCCTATCTTTTATTACCGAGGCATCAAGCGATACTTCCGTCACAGATGTGAATGAACGTTTCGAAATTTCCTTCGATAACTCGAATATTTCGGTAGATGTTTCTAATCTTCCTGCTTTCACCGTACATATTTCCGACACACCATGTTCAATTTCGTCGGACTTAATGTCTTCTGGCGGCACTCCTGAGATGTCTTTAATCTTGGGAGATGATTTTTCATCTTTATCCTCCGTACTCAATTGTGGAGAAAATTGAGCGGCTGGTTCCTCCTCGCTGCCCTCATCTGGTTTTGGCGAGAAATGGATGGAATCTACCTCCGGGGAAAACTGATCTGCTGTCGGAACTGGTGACTTTGTTTCTTCGGTGGGCTTCGCAGATCCTACATCAGATTGCATTTCCAATTGATCTGATTTTTCAGACGAGTCTCTAGGAGAAACGTTTTCATCCTGTTTTTGTGAAGCTTTAGTTGTTACCTCAGGTTCATCAACTGTGGATCTAGGTGAAATTGATGACGGCGATTGTTCTGATTTAGGAGTAATCATTGATGCATCGGAAACTACATAGGATTCGGTAACTTCGGACGTTTCTTCGATTGTTTTTGACACAATGACCGACGTAATTTCAGACGATATGATTTCGGTTGCGTCTGTGCGCACTTTACTTGCAGGCTTAGAGACGTTAGAAAACTCGGCAGGTGAAACTTGCGTCGTGGGTTCTGGTTTTCTCTCATCTTCAGGTTTAGTTAATACTTCTCTCAATTTCGTTTCTGATTTTTCAATGTCTGCTTCATCGTCTTCGGGTCGACTTCTGTCATCAATTGGTGGTTTTATGCCTTCGTCATCCGTTTGGAATGAAGGCTTCGCTAAATCTGTTTGCTTCGTAACAGGAGATTTGGGTGTCTCGGTAGGTGATTCATAGGATTTAGAAACAGTTTGAACATCTCCAAAATCGAGAACTTCACATTTTTCTTCAATTACCTTGTCATCGTGTGATACTTCAGTCACAGATGCGGTTGAACGTTTCGAAATTTCTTGCGATGACTCGATGATTTCTGTTATTGTTTCCACTCTTTCTGCTCTCACCGTACGTACTTCCGATACACCCTCTTCAATTTCGTCTGATTGTGTGTCCCCCGGGACCACTGGTGAAATGTCTTCAATTTTGGTAGATGAATTTTCATCTTGATTTTCTGTGCTCAATTGAGGAGAAATTTGAACGGCTGGTTCCTTTTTAACGCCCTCATCAGGTTTTGGCTCAAAATCGATAGTATCTACCGTCGGGGAAAGCTGATCTGTCGGAACTTGTGACTTCGTTTCTTCGCTGGGTTTCGACGATACTACATCAGACTGCATGTCCAGTTGATCGGATTTTTCGGGTGAGCCTCTTGGTGAAACGCTTTCATCCTGTTTAGGTGAAGCCTTAGCCGGTACCTCAGGTTCATCAACTATGGATTTGGGCGAGATCGATGACGGCGATTTGTCTGATTTAGGAGTAATGATTGATGCACTGCTAGCTACGTCATGGGATTCGGTAACTTCGGACGTTTCTTCGATTGTTTTTGATACAGTAATCGAAGTAATTTCAGACGATATGATTTCGGACCTAATTTCAGTTGCTTCTGTGCTAACTTTCCTCGCAGGCTTAGAGACCTCAGAAAACTCGTTTTCTTCCTCGCCAACCTCTTTGTCATCCTTAGGTTTTTCTTTTATGTCAGTGTCCATCAACATTTTTTCCTCTGAATATGTCTCTTCCGCGGATTTAGGTGTAACCTGCTTCGGGGGTTCAGGTTGTCTCTCATCTTTAGGTTTGGTTAATTCTTCTTTCAATTTCGCATCTGATTCTTCAATGACCTCTTTATCGTCTTTCGGCCGTGATCTTTCATCAGTTGGTTCTTTTGTGCTTTTGTCAGCCGCTTGGAATGAAGATTTCTCTGAATCTGTTTGCTTCGTAACAGGAGACGTGGGTGACTGGGAAGGAGATTCATAGGACTTGGGAACAGTTTGAACCTCTCCGACATCCATAACGTCACATATCCCTTCAATTACAGTTGCTTCGTGTGACACTTCTGTAACAGATGAGGTTGAAAGTTTCGAAATTTCTTTCGATGACTCGATGTTTTCTGTTTTTGTTTCCACTCTTTCTGCTCTCACCGTACGTACTTCCGATACACCCTCTTCTATTCCGTCAGATTGTGCGTCCCCTGGGACCTTTGGTGAAATGTCTTCAATTTTGGCAGATGATTTTTCATCTTTATCATCTGTGCTCAATTGTGGAGAAATTTGAGCGGCTGGTTCCTTCTCACCGCCATCATCTGGTTTTTGCGAAAAATCGATAGTATCTGCCTTCGGGGAGAGCTGATCTGCTGTCGGAACTGGCGACTTTGTTTCTTCGCTGGGTTTCGACGATACATCAGATTGCATGTCCAGTTGATCGGATTTTTCGGACGAGTCTCTTGGTGAAACGCTTTCATCCTGTTTAGGTGATGCTTTAGCGGTTACCTCAGGTTTATCAACTATGGATTTGGGCGTAATAGTAGACGGCGATTTGTCCGATTTAGGAGTAATCATTAATGCATCAGAATCTACGTCATGGGATTCGGTAACTTCGGACGTTTCTTCGATTGTTTTTGATAAAGTGACCGAAGTAATTTCAGACAATATGATTTCGGACTCGATTTCATTTGCCTCTGTGCTCGCTCCACTTACAGGCTTTGAGACCTCAGAAAACTCGTTATCTTCCTCGCCAACCTCTTCGCCATCCTTATGTTTTTCGCATGTGTCAGTGTCTGTCAATATTTTATCCTCCGAATATATCTCTTCCACGGATTCAGGTGAAACCTGCTTCGCGGGTTCTGGTTTTCTCTCATCTATAGGTTTGGTTAATACTTCTCTCAACTTCGCATCTGATTCATCAATGACCGCTTCATCTTTTTCGGGTCGAGTTCTTTCATCAATTGGTGGTTTTGTGCCTTCGTCATCTGTCTGGAATGTATGCTTCTCTGAATCTGATTCCTTCGTAACAGGAGATTTGGGTAACTCGGTAGGTGATTCATAGGATTTAAGAGCAGTTCGAACATCTCCAACATCGAGAACGTCACATTTTTCTTTAATAACCGTGACATCGTGTGATACATCAGCCACAGATGCTGTTGAACGTTTCGAAATTTCTTGCGATGACTCGATGATTTCTGTTGTTGATTCCATTCCCTCTGCACTCACCGTACATACTTCCGATACACCCTCTTCAATTCCGTCAGATTGTGTGTCCTCTGGGACCACTGGTGAAATGTCTTCAATTTTGGCAGATGATTTTTCATCTTTTTCTTCTGGGCTCAATTGAGGAGAAATTTGAGTGGCTGGTTCCTTCCCACCGCCTTCTAGTTTTGACGAAAAATCGATAGTATCTACTTTTGGGGAGAGCTGATCAGCTGTTGGAACTAGTGACTTCGTTTCTTCGCTGGGTTTCGACGATACTACATCGGATTGCATGTCCAGTTGATCGGATTTTCCGGACAAGTCTCTTGGTGAAACGCTTTCATCCTGTTTAGGTGAAGCTTTTGCGGTTACCTCAGGTTCATCAGCTATGAATTTAGGCAAAACCGATGACGGCGATTTGTCTGATTTAGGAGTAATCATTGATGCATCGGTAGCTACGTCATGGGATGCGGTAACTTCGGTCGTTTCTTCCAAAGTTTTTGATACAGTGACCGAAGTAATTTCAGACGATATGATTTCGGACTCAATTTCAGTTGCGTCTGTGCTCACTTTCCTCACAGGCTTAGAGACATCAGAAAACTCGTTATCTTCCGCGCCAACCTCTTTGTTATCCGTAGATTTTTCTCTTGTGTCTGTGTCTTTCAATATTTTTCCCACTGAATATGTATCTTCCTCGGATTTAGGTGAAACCTGCATCGCGGGTTCAGGTTTCCTCTCATCTTTAGGTATGGTTAGTACTTCTTCCAATTTCGCATTCGATTCTTCAATGACCTCTTCATCGTCTTTCTTTTGTGAATTTTCATCAGTTTGTTCTTTTATGCATTTGTCATCCGTTTGGAACGAAGGTTTCTCTGAATCTGTTTGCTTCGTAACAGGAGATGTGGGTGACTCGGAAGGTGATTCATAGGATTTGGGAACAGTTTGGACATCTGCAACGTCGAGAACGTCACATTTTTCATCAATTATCGTGACATCGTGTGATTCTGATTTAGGAGTAATCATTGATGCACTGGTAACTACATCATGAGATTCGGTAACTTCGGACGTTTCTTCGATTGTTTCTGACACAGTGACCGATGTGATTTCAGACGATGTGATTTCGGACTTGATTTCGGTTGCGTCTGTGCTCACTTTACTTATACTTACAGGCCTAGAAACCTTAGAAAACTCGTTATCTTCATCGCCAACTTCTTTTTCATCCTGAGGTTTTTCTCTTGCGTCTCTCAATATTTTTTCCTCCGAATATGTCTCTTCCTCGGATTTAGGTGAAACCTGTTCCGCGGGTTCAGGTTTTCTTTCTTCTTCCTGTTCGGTTGGTACTTCTCTTAATTTCGCATCTGATTCATCAAGGACCGTTTCATCGTCTTCGGGTCGAGATTTTTCATCAGTTGATTCTTCTGTGCCTTTGTCATCCGTCTGGAATGAAGGTTTCTCTGAATCTGTTTGCTTCGTAATAAGAGATTTGGGAGACTCGTAAGGCAATTCATAGGATTTGAGAACAGTTGGTACATTTTCAACAATGAGTAAGTCACTTTTTTCTTCAATTACTGCAACATCATGTGATCCTTCTGTCACAGATATGGTTGAACGTTTCGAAATTTCTTTTGCTGACTCAGTGAATTCGTTAGTTGTTTCCGATCTTTCTGTTCTCACTGTTATTACTTCCGATACTTCTTCAATTTCGTCAGATTTTATGGCCCCGAGAATCACTTGTTTTCCATCTTCATCTTTCGTTCTCAATTGTCGAGAAAACTGAGCTGCTGGTTCCGTTTCTGCGCCCTCATCTGATTTTGGCGAGACATGGATAGAATCTATCTCCGGGGAATACCGATCTGCTATTGGAACTGGTGATTTTGTTTCTTCACTAGGCCTCGGCGATATTACATCAGATTGCTTGTCCAGCTGATATGAATTCTCAGATGAGTCCCTTGGTAAAACGCGGTCAAGTTCGGGTGTAGGTAATACGGCTGCCTCCGATTGTTTGACTTTTTCTCGTGTCACCGTTTCCACTGGAGTTTGGAATTGATGGGACACTTTTGAGTGTGCCGGTATTTCCACGTCAACGTTATCAAATTCCTTCTTGTGTGCAACTTTCTGGCTGTCATTCTCCGTAGAGTCAGCCTCTTTTTCCAATAAAGTGTCTATAGAAAACAATTTTTCTTTCGGAGATAATGCATCATCAGTTATTTTCTTCGTTAGATCGGAATATGGTTGTTTTTCAGTGTTTACCTCATCCAGATTTTTTTCGGAGTCTTCTTCGGTCAAGCTTTGCAACTCTTTTTCCATTTTTTCCACGCTACCTTTTTCCTCTACATCAACCGGTTCTCTTTCTTCAGTTTCTGATCCGTCGGCTACTATTGAAGCTCTATGTATATTAATATCAAAATGTTTTGGGTAGGCATTAGGATCATCAGCTAAAGTGACTCTTTCCAATAAGTCATACTCAAGTGAAGCCTCTTCTGCAGCTTCTGCGTCTGCTGCTCCAGTTTTTTCAAATGCCAATCCACATTCTCGAGTTGTTTTTTCAGTAATCAAAGTATTTTCATGTTCTGATCTGTCATCCAGCAGTTCTGGGACGTCTTCCAACATCGATTCTATGACTTCTTCATGGATAGGAAGTTCGTCAACTTCGTCGGGAGTCTTAATCACATCCCTGGGCTGCAAATATGGTTTTGTGGATTTTTCCGTTATAACCGGAAGAGATGAAGGAAGTTCTTTGTGTTCACCGGTTTCAGCCGTTCTTTTTTCCCACATTTCTTCATCGGCTCTTTGAATGGTTTCAAATGACCCAAATAGGCCCCTAACAGGTTTCTCTTCATATTTATCTTTGTAGTCAGTGAGTTTTGCACTGCTAGGTAGAGTCGCATAAGCATCGTCTTTATCAATTTCATTGTCCACAGCTTCTTCTGGCCTTGAAATTTTTGTTGCCGCATCAACTGCTTGGACGTCTTTTAGTTTTTGTTTAGATAAAATATTTTCTGGAATTATTCTGGTTTTACTGTCTTCTACCAGATCCATTTTATACGATCCAGTTTTAAGGCTTACTTCAGCTTTCACGTCGTCTTCTTTTTCTAAGGATTTTAGAACTTCTTGAGAAATTTCTTCTTTTTCTTGCAATCTTAAAGCAGTATCAGGCAGTTCTTCAGCCATGACTCCATGGAATCTCTTGTCTTCTTTTGAAGCTGATTCAGGTTGGGTTTCTCTAGTTCTTGGGCTACTTCGGTTCTGCTCATCATTTTCGCTTCTCTTTTCTTCCTGATACTTGATTTCATCGCGATCATCATCTTCTTCAATAATGTCGGAAATTTCTTCTCTTTCAACTTGTTCTATTACGCCTTCTTCGTGTAGAATTAGAGAATCTTTTTCTTCCTCTTCAAGGAGCTCTCTGTCAGTCACATTGGAATACTCATCTTCTATTTTCAGTTCCTGGACTCCAGGAATGTTAGCAATGTCTGAGATTCGGTCTTCTTCGTCATTATCGGGTCCTAGATTATCATCCTTTACTGGCAATAAGATGTCTTCCTCGTCTCTAATTCCCTTTTCTTCATGGTCCATTGACATGGTGTTGTCAGGGACGATGATTCCTGCGGCAGCGGCAGCAACCACCCCAGCTTTCATTGCTGCTCCAGTTATAATCTTTTTGACTGGTTCTGAACTTTTGCTGGGTGTAGTTTCCGGTCTCTTCTTCTTAGGGGAAACTTTCGGGAGCGGTTTTATGGCTGATCTTTTCTTCGCCTCTTCCCGCGCTGCTTTTGCAGCCACATTTTTCTCTTCCGCCTCACGTTTTCGAGATTTTTCGGATATCATTTTGACAGTAGTTTGTTTTTCAGTAGATGACTTCATTGACTTTGTTTCAACTTGACGTTTTTCGACACGTTTGGTGCTTGTTTTCTTCACCTCTTTCACGTCTAATTCTCCGGTTTGGTGATCAACTTCGGTACTAGTGGGTTTCTTCGTTTTTCTAACTACTTTTCCTATTGTGCGATTGTCCACTGGTGCCACTTCTGATTCTGGCTCAAGTTTCTGACTCGGGACAGGTTCCTCCTTTTTAAGTTTGCTCTCCTTCCTGATTCGTTCAACTCTGTTTTCCTGTCTGTATTTAGTGTCTACTCTGCCAGAGCCCGTATCGATCCTCGGCTGAACACGTGGCCGTTTACTGACTTTCACCTTTTCAACGGTTTGTGGGGGCAATTTCTTTTTAATCTTTTCATTTTCTTTCTCCTTCTCACTGATGACCTCTTTAGCAGGTGCTTTTTCAATTACTGGTTCCTCGATTCTTTTTGTTTGCTCTATTTCAAGAGATGACTCTCGGTCATCCGCCAGGATAATCCCAGACTCGACAGACAACATGGATGACTCACGGACCTCCTCGGTCTGATCGATTTCCTCGTTTGGAACCTCCGTGACCTCATCTACTGCAAGAGGTGGGGACTCTTGCAGTTTGTTATCTGTAATTTTTTCTGGAGATGCGTCGCGCAATGATTCCGGCCTACCGGGACCTTCTTCAGATTCAAGTTCGCCAATTTCTTTATCAATAGTTGTTTCTTGTAGCTCACTGTAGGCTTTCTCTTTTGGCTCGTCACCGATTTCTTTTCTCTTTTTTCTTCTCACTCGCTCAGGTCGAATTTCCGATGTCTTTCCCGTTTTAGATTCACTCACAGTTTTTTCTACTCTAGTTCGTCTTTTCTCTTCTTTACTAACAGATCTAGAGACCCGTTCACTTTTTGTCGATAAAGTGGTGATTTGACTAGAAATTCTACTCACTTTTTGCGTCGATGTTAATCTTTCTAACCTGCTACTTCTTTTCTCTTCGTTCTTTAACCTGAGAGACTTCGCAGAACATCTTGGATATTTGAGATATTCTAAATGTTTCAGTTTTTCTAGGCCTTCAAAAACCTTGTGCTGAGGAGTACTTCCAGGAAAAAGTATTCTGGTTATTGTGTCTGTGGGATCGTTGGGCTGCCACACGACCAGAGCACAAATTGAGTTGACGTTCATTAGGGGACACGGAAAAACTTTGTTGCCAATTGTATATGTGCAACTCTCGACATCAGACGTTCGCACGTCGTTGTTCCATCTCTCCATGAAGTACTGAACGTCTTTGCTGTCTTTGGATGGATTCAGAACATACATGTCAAGCTTACCATGACCTACTTTGTGATAGAGGTTGATTGGGTCCATGACATTGTCACGAAAACATAAATGCGGCTTCAAGCTAAGCTGTCTTAGATTTTCTCGTATTAAATGGCCTTCATCCCAAATGTTGATAAGAAGAGTGTCTTCATCTTTTCCTCCATCTGGAGACGATTTTGTTCCGGCGACATTACAAAAGATGTGACCAATCTGAGGATAGACTGAACTAATGGCTTTCCTACGAATCACGTTGGCAATTCCCATCACATTAGAACTATTAAGGCGAGTGACTAGCACAGCATCTAATCTATCAAGATGGCGTGTAAAGTCCCAGAAGCAGCCTTTCCTATTGTAGCCGCCGTCCACTAGCATGTTGAAGCCGTTCACGCCGAACAAAGCTGAGTCTCCCTGTCCACCGGGAAACACATACAAGGTTGGCCGAGTAAATCTGATGTTACCGACGATGTCGGATGGTTCGTGGATGCTCTCCACGTCTTGGACGATCAGTAATTTCGATATGTATTCGACAATTGCTGTGATGCCATCAGTCACTGCAATCTTGTCTCCTGGATTTACTGTCACTTGGCATTGTTTGCTGAAACGAATAAAAAATGTAAAAATGAAATGCAATTGACTTTGTCACATTATTTTTGAAATTTTGCGAGCAATGTTTATGGTCACTCAAAATACTGGATATAATATTGTACAAACTGTAACTTGAAGTCATTAATATTGGTTCGGATACCATTGAGTCGAAGGAACAGCACAGCAAATGTTATACTCCAAAATATTGCCTAAAAAGGTCATTGATGATACTTTCCTTAACAAAAATAAAGTACATTTGTCACCGAAAGATTCAAACAACAAATAATTTTACTTTAATTAATATTTTAAAGAGAGTTGAACATTCAGCAAATAAGTTATTTCAAATAATGAGGACCATAAAATTTTCATAATTATGGTCGCCGATTGAACTTGGAAGATTTTACGCTCATGAATGAACATTTGGAAAGTGCATTTGATCACTTAAATCATGCTTTCATTACATAGCAGTCAACTCTTCAAAAATGAGAATCATAAAATGTTCATATGCACTATAGCAAAATGAACTTGAAAATTTGTAGGTATGCAATTAAATTTGTGGTGTGTGCATTTGATTATTTACAAAGATTCTTAATATGATTAATCATACCTAAAATACTCCTGTGACATCGCCTCTGTTGTCCATTTCCCTTCACCAGCGCAGTGAATGTCGATGGATATACAGCTTTCATAAGCGTGCAAGACTCTCTGTACTTCATACTCGTTGAATGCAGCAAATAAATCGGCCACTGAAAACGTGCCATCCTGAAACACAAAAAATATGTCCAGAAAACCTTTATTTTCGAGTTTATATAAGTAGGTAGATCGATTAGGGAGAGTTTCGTTAATTACAACATGCTCAGAAAATCGGCATATTCTCGTTCATAGAAGAAGTATAATAGTGTTTGGTCTCGTTGAAAAATTATTGAGAAGCTACGTGATCATAAGATAAAGATTTTTATATTTATGAATACCATGTCAGATTTACGACGTGATCTTGGGCTGGATGTTATCTTCAAATTCTAGTTATATTCGCGCTATCTATGTGTAAAAAACAATGCGAGAAAAAGTTATATTTATGAAAACAAATTACATATCTAGAAATGCAACAAAATGTTTGGATGTGATAATTATACTTTACGCGACCTAATATTGAAATTATTTATATAACTCTAGAGCTAGTAAATTCTAATTCATTCAATGCAAATTTGTCACGTGTAACTCAAGAGCGCTGTTCTAACTCAATGTGAATTTATCACATGTCACTCAAGAGCGCTTCTCTAACTAATGGAGCTTTTAACTCAGGGGCGCCTTTTTTCTAATGTGAATATGATGCATGTAACTCAAGAGCACTTTTCTAATTTAATCAATGTGAATTTATCAGGTATAATTCAAGAGTGTTTTTCTAACTCAACCAATATAAATTTTTCACATGTAACTCAGGCGCGCTTATCTAACTCAATCAATGTGAATTTTTCACATGTAACTCAAGAGCGTTTTTCTAACTTTCTAACTCAATGTGAGTTCGTCACCTGTCTCTTATAAGCGCTTTATACTAGCAGAACTGATGTTAATTCGCCACCTGTAACATCCACGAGCCAGAACCAGCGAAGGCGTATCCGGCATGGATGATGTGTCGGTGTTTAGTGAAGGAGGAGAGCAGGTTCTTGAGACACTGTTGGACGGTGTTGACTTGGGGATTAATCAACACCTCCACGACCATGTGCTCGTTGGCGTACTGCACCAAGCGTTCTCCTGGGCAAAGGCGGCAACCACTAACCCAAGGCAATTTGAACCAGTTCAAATTTTATCAACTTGTCATCTGAATTTAGAAAAATTGAAAACAAAGTTTAACCCTTGGCGTCCGACAATATTTGAAAACAAAGTTAAAGTCTTGCCCGACTGTATAATTTTACATCGTTTTCATCGTACCGAATTAGGTTCCATTGCACCTATGCAATCCGACATGGTTTGAATGAACGCGGGCGATAAATGAACAAAGTAGGTGATAAGTGTTATAAGAATTTAATAGTTCGATTTATTGTTTAAATAACTTGTATGTAGATATTATAAGAAAGAATCTGTAATCGACAATTTTAATAGCAAGGAGGCATGCGCCTTCATAAATTGCGTAAGATATTTATCATTCGAATAAGAAAAACATTACAATTTCTTCTCAAAATTTAGTTGGCAAAAGTATTACAAACTCTACTGAAGTATTTTCAGGGAACTGTGTCGACATATGCCATAAGCTCAATCTCATCACAAAACCCGTCATCTATGAAAGACATTGATGGATGAGAAAGCTAGATGCTCACCTCCTTTTTGTTCTTCACCTTCCAAGTTGAGTTCGGCTAGAAGCTTCAGCTCCTTGTGGATGTCGAGATGAGACTTCTCTTCGTCCCACGACAAAAACCCTGAAAAAATAAGCTTATTTCAGATGAGAAATTCACCCGTAATTTTATCATGTAAAAACTGGACGAAATTAGACAAAGTAGACACAAAAATAACGGCGGAAAAATACTCGTGGCCGAGTTTCAAAAAGAAATCCATGCGCACTAGCAAACTCAATTGTTTCTATTAGATTGAATAGCTTGTGTATTGAAAGTATTACTGTAAGAATTCCTTAATTTACTTTTACCTAAAAATCGAACACGTTAATTACCAGTTGAGTTTAGACGAATAAAATTTTCATTTATAGAAATCCGAAAGAAAATAATTAGAACTATTCCCATTAGCAGCGTGAGTATGACACACCGTGTTAAAATGTTCAAATTATCGTATTATCGTATAATAGCGAGCGTCTCTACCCTCTTTCTTCCTGATGCATGCGTCTTGTATAAGACCTGCATAAATCAAGCGGCTTCGAAATTTTCTGCTGGGATTCGAATTCTTGGAATTATGCGGGTGGATTTTTCATTAAAATTAGAGAGATCCGTACCTGGCGCTCGCAAATTTGCCTAAGAAGGTTTAATGAGATCAGAAGATTCATAGGATGTTATAAAGTATGCTGAAAGTTTTATTTAATTTCAGCAACCATCGCCTTATTATTTATCGATTTTTGTACGGAAGGATCAGCTATAGGCAAATGATAAATATACCTATTCTAAATTACTGGTAACCTTCCAAGAGCGCTTAGATAAAGTGAAAATAATAGAAATTTATTTATACAATATATCTGTTATACTAAAAACACCGAAAAAAATATCAGTCTGGAAAGTTTAGAAAAATCTCTCTTTAAACCCAGTTTTGTCAATCATTAAATGACAAAAGCCTAAATTGTTCGGCGGTGTATTTAAATATTCAAAACTTTCAACGAAGTTCTACTGTAAAGGCGCCAAGAAACAGAATTCAGACTTCGGCACACGGTCCGACTTTTTATTCGCATTCTAAACAGAATTCCAACCAAGAAATTTGGTAAATTGGGTCGTAGAAAATGTATTTTGGAGACAAACTCTGGTAGTCTTTTTGGGGCTAGGAGATTTTTTAGCTAAAAATTTGTTGGGAAATGTTTGCATACAAGCAAAATGAAGGCTGTTTTGCGAAATGCCATATTTTATAGACATGAGGGGTTTGACTAAATGAATTATAAAGGGAAATTACAAAATTAGACATTGAGTCGATTATGTTCGGAGAATTAATTGATTAATTATGTAATTTCTTATCTACCTGGAGACAGTTGCAGGATAATTCCTTATCAAATAGAAAAACATTATAGGGAGCAAATTTCCAAGGCATATTTTATTTTATTTTTCCATTTCCTGTAACATTTTTCAAAACGCCCGCACAATATCGCATGGACTTTTTTAGAAGCCTGATTTTCATCACAAAACAATATGCGCTTCAAAATTACTTTTTAAAGAAAACACTTCTAAAGAGGCAAGAGAAGTGTTGTAGTTAAGTTATATTCTTTCTCTTTCGTTTGCCTTTCATCCACAAGACAACGAGTTTAACTCAGTCATATACGTATAAAGCTAAAATCAAATTGCATGATACATTTTACTGCTTATTAATTGTAGTTGGTTTTTACTCATGATTTTATTCTTCTTTTGCCCATGTATTCTCATTAAAGATTATTGAAGCAAACACGTTTCATCACAGGAATTTTTTAGCCTTTCCACATGAAAATGTTTGTTCTTTTCAATGTTTTATGCCTCAATGATGCGAGTATGTATTCCTAATAAGTAACTTGAATGATTTTAACGCAATAAGTTGAAGTCAAAATGGAGTAAACTTTTTAAAATTAACATTAACAATTGTATTTAATTGAAGGTTTAAAGTGACACCGTTTCAGTATACATGAGAATGCTATCGTGAATTTACTCTTCATACAAAATCTAAAATATCGAATTTGTGGGAAGGAAATAAGAACTGAACAAAGAACATAAATGATACGTAGAATGCTGAGAAAATGTCAATACATATAACCCTTCTTTATTCTTCGAAGATATTTAATTCTTTGGGTGAAATTTGCCGAAGAAGTCTCCTCGAGAAATGCGGGCAAGCGGAAAGATCGCGTCGGAGAAAGAATAATGACCGAGCTCTGAGCTCGATGCTGATGGATCGCAAGACTTGCGTTGAATAAAGCACAAAGAGAAGATTCGGTTTCCGATAAAAGATGATCGGTCCATCAGTGATTCTGTCATCGTGCTTAAAATCTCGTTCCAGATTTTATCAAAGAATTACTTTGACCAGTTTGAGTTTCCTGTTACATCCCTGGTACCTCAATTATTTTGAGTAAAACAGGAATCCCGGTGCTCGAAACTCTGCATCTACAACTTATGGTAAACAATAATACCTTAATAAATAGGTAGTGATGTTTGTTTATTGTACTAATGTAATACTAGTTTTTATTATAATGATTACTACACTATCTAAAATAAAGAAAAAATTAGTTTGGCTGGTATTCTTCACTAACCCAGCCTAGCCAATTTTAATGCAATTTTTTTTTTTGCAGAAGTGTACTGCCCTGATGGAACTGCCCAAAGATTTAGAGGGCACCTGGGACGCCCAGCAGCCATAAACCTCTTCAAATCAGGTTATGTTCAGGCAAGTTGAAACACTCGTAAATTCTAGAGTCTCATTAGCATTATCCAGTATCCACGTCGGAAAAATTCGGATTTCTTCTTATTATGGGAAATCAGATCGCCTCTCTTTTGAGATACAAGGCTAGCGGAATAAGAGCATGATATAATTTATTTTTTACCTGCTGTTTTTCACCAATCAGCTCATTGCTAGACAAATTTTGACATTTGGGAAAACGCACCATCAAATCGATTGAATAAAATCAATCTATAAAATCATTTTTTCGTGGTTGCTAAACCAGCAACGAAAAATAAATAGTTACATTTCTTTAGTCTGAGATTTTTTAACTAAATAATCTTTAACCATAATCTTTTCATAATGCACTAAAATTTTGTTGTTAAATTTTCACTCCTCGTCCCACCCAATTTTTGCGGGCTCGTGAATCTTAGTACAAGCCATTAAGTAATCCCTAAGGAAACAAGATCGGCTCTGGTAAATCCCACCACAGGCGGCATGATGCTAAGGCTCTGAAGGATTAAGGCGCGGAGCTCCTACGAGAAAATTTGTGGGCTAAGGATTTTGGTGCCCCGTGGTTTGCTTTACAAAAGATATCTGACAGAGAAATAATGGTGATTAAACTTAGTTTCAACGAAATTAACTAATATCCAACATATTTTCAACGTTATTTTAATGGAGGGTAGCTCTTGTTAAGACATAGAAGCAAATTAAATAAGATATATGAGATGATACGTACTTAGTGGAAGACTTGCAGCGTTTTAGGTTCGGGAACGCTGAAATTTGCTTTCGTAAGAAGCATTAAATAGTTCACCAGTCTTCAAAAAACAATGTTGTAGAATTATAAATTTCTTTTGGTCATTTTGAGACAGGCATATACTGTATTTTAACGATACATTTGAGTAGAGACAATTACAGTTAGCTTTAGTCGTTTAATCTATAAGCCGGATTTTCATTAGGTTTCTGGAAATAAATTTTCATCATGAGGAACTCCACGGGGCTTTCAACTAACACTTCATGAGGTGTTCAATTTACAAGGACATCTAAAAGTCTACGGATTTTATAAATAAAGTTTAACTATCAACAAGGTTCATGTTGCCATCAAATTTATTGCAACTTTCGAGTAAAATATTTCGAGTAGACTCTAATAAATTATTCTTACGAATAAGTGTTATGATAGCTGAACAATACATGTTAATGCAAGTATAACATTTTATTCGTTTGAATGTTATACTAAAAACTCTTCTATTATATATTTTCAATATAAGGTGAATGTCAGGTGACATTTTAGGCCAATAATTTTCCCTTTCAAACAATAAGCAATTTCTGTTAGCATATCTTATATGAGATTCAAGATTGATAAAATGTCAACAAATGCCGTTAATCAGTCGGTTTATTAATTATTTTGCATCTCATTCTCAATATAGGAGATTGCAGCTCGATAGCACACTATATTCAAGTCTGAAAAATTAACAAAATGTATTAACGAAGCGATACTGAGAAGCCCGAGGAATGCGGTTTGCAGTCGCTCATGTCATGCGCAGTTTCGATCGCATTCAGCAGCACCGAGCCATGCATTGTCTATCAACATTATACATGGTCAATCGGTTTTCGTTTGAGGTTAAAAGGAAGCTGCTGTTAAATTTTTCCAGTCTGAAAAGCATTTTTTGGTTCAGTTGTTCTTGCTGAAAAAGTGGCAAACAGTGAATGCATCTGACGTTCATACTGGGATTTTTGATTTCTGCGTGAAATTTGGGATGGTGCGGTAACTTTTTCATCCTTAGCGAGAACCAAAAACGTTTTTCTGCAAGACTTCCAGAGCCAAACTGTCCTGTACAATTATATTTCACTAGTTGATAATCAATTCAGTGCCAGCTTGATTCTAGGTATTGTAAATTTTTAGAATTGTTTCATAAATTTAAAGTTTAAGAATTAAATCCCATCTGCTGTATCATAAACCGTGCGCCCGAAAGACGAGCGGAAAGAATTCATGGTGGCTCTCGTGTATCCGCGATAAGAGGTAATCTATTCGCTAACTTCACGCAGGTTTCTTGCAGGTCCTGCGAAAGTAAAAAGTTTTCAAAAATAGTACAAGCTTCTTATCCATTTTGCCAACAACATCCTCAGCTCTGAGAATCTGTCCACCTTAGAAACTTGAAGCTCACGAACTTGTTGAAGAACAAAAAGCTCTTCAGACTGAAAAGTTTTGCTCCTGAGGCGGGTGTGTCGTGCGCGTTTGTCTCGGCAGAACCTCAACTAGCGATCGCCTGTAGTTCCTTGTGGGAAACGAATAGCGGTTCATCTTTGTACGAGTTATGGACTTTTATGAAGAATGAGCCGTCCCTTGCCATTTATTTTCGTGGTTTGCCAATATTTA